CCCCAAAACCCCAAAACCCCGCTAGCAATAATTAGTACATTGATGATAAGAATGCTGAAATTAATTAAATCAGATTCATAGAGTAATTAATTAATCAACATCTGTTTGTTTTTAATAGCAGAAATGGAAAAATCTTAAAATTAATCAGATAAAGCAACATTGAAAGAGAGTTTAACTACTGATTCAACTAAATAAAGCACTAGACATCAAACTATTAACAGAATTTGTGTCTCTATTGAGAGAGGAGATAAGGAATTTGATCTGGATTTTGATATGCTAAGTGATATGTATGAGTTCCATAATGATGATGATAAGTCACTTTAATCATAATCTTTTGTTTCAGAATCTATGACATCAGAGTCCATCATAGATGATTATCTTCTGAAACGGCAAGAAAATGTTCAGATAAATACTGTTTAGCTATTAGATGATATCTATGATAAACATTTGATTGAACTTCCCGATGACCTAATTGCTGCTCTTAAGGAAGCAGATAACACTAAAGTTACCATCATTAGCGAGTTGTTTGCCTTCAAAATCTTACAGATTGAAATGGAAATAGTTGAGAATGAAGACAGTGAATAGAGACTAGCATTCAGTTAGTAATACAAGAATCAACTTTTGAAATAAAGAAGTGAAGTAGAAAAATATATTAATGCCTGTCTAGTTGATAGAATAATAAGCGAAAAAAAGTTCAAATATATTAATAAGATTTTACCAGCTATTTAAAAGAGATTAAGAAAGGAATTCTATTAACTGTTTCAAAAGAATATGTTCGTGAATGAGAGCTAGATACTTAAGAAATATAATTTTGAATTTTTGGAATAAGTTGAGTAGAATTTCTAACGATATGCAATAGAAGAGATTTAAAGTTCTATTGGAAATGATGTCTTATTGACAGATTATAAGGTTTTAATGGTCTAATTTTTCTAGAATTACCTGCTTAGTAAAGCACATTATTTTCTAAATGAACTGAAAAATAATTTCATTACAGAATTCCAGACATCTTATGAGTAGGATTGGAACATATTCTTGCAAAATTACATAAATGAAGAAAATGGTCCAAAAATAGTAGTAGAAGATTTGTAAACCTTATTCAATATCCTGATCAGATTGCCTGCAAGCAAAGAAATTAAACTAGAGATTGTATAATTAGAATCTAAGCTGACATAGTTTGCTTTTATGCATAATCTGGAGATTAATATAGATGATTATTGGACATAATAAGATGAAATCGAGGCATATTTGATTTCACTACATTAAAGATTAATGTAATATGAATAATAGAGAGAAAAGGAAAATGCTTTTTCCAGTTTGATATACGAATTGTTAAATTATTTCATTAGAGATTGCTATACTGCTTCTGATAGAGAACTCCTAAAAATGTTCTTCATGACAATCTAGCCTAAGGTAAGAGAAATTATCATGTCAAATCAAGAAATAAATATTGGATTTTATTTGACCATCTTTGAGAAAGAAATTTCCGAAGCCAATCCAATTAGTGAGTACTAACTCAAAGATATAATTTAATCAAAATTCTAAAATAATTTGGCAACCTTTGGAATAGATAAATCAATAGAAAAAACAAGTATTTTGAATTTATAGAGAATCAGTACTACTACTCGAAGTAAGCATGTAGTAATATGTCTTTCTGGATTTTTAACAGAGGATGTAGAGAAAGAAGAGAGCTGGCGTTTAGTTGTAAATCATTATAAATATGCTGAAGTTTTTGCTTTGACTTGGAATTCACTTTCAGTCTCTAATTTCTGGACAGAGGGGCATTACAAAGAAAGGGGTGGATCTGGATTTATGGCGAAAGTTTTGTTCATAAAATCAGGAAAAAAGTAGTTTAAATATGCTATAGAGTAGACAAAAGTAGCGGGGACTTTGCTCGCTCTATTTTTATTGAAAACAGATTTTAGCAATGATAAAGCAATAACATTAATAGGACATAGTTTGGGAACTGTTATAATTTTCCAGGTATTAAATGTTTTGCATCACTTTTATAAGCAAGGTAATTATAAGGCAGGCAGAATTATTCATGATGTATTTTTATGGGGTGGTGCATTAGTCTTGACACCTTAAGGAAAATATGAAGAGATAATATAGAAATCTAAGTTATGTGGAGTAGTGAATGGCAAGTTATCAAATGTTTATAGTCTAAAAGATTATGTACTCAAGTACATGTTTATGTCTGTAATGAGCAAGTTTGAGCCAATTGGAATGATACCAATATTTGAAGATGTACCCGAATATTAAAGAACTAGGAATATGACTCCTCATGCTGCAAAGATGTCCACTTTAAAAAAGGCTCACAATTACGACTGCACTGTGGAATGTCCTGGTCATATGACATATAGCGTAGGAGCAAATCTGGTTTTAGAAAAAATACCAAACTCTTTCTGATTTGGTTGCAAGCATACCGATCTTATCAATAAATAAATAATCTTTAATTTCGAAGTTAAAAAATAAGTTTTTTAACTCATCAAATTATTCGCTCAAAGGGGTTTTGGGGTTTTGGGGTTTTGGGG